ACTGGGCCAAAATACCTCCTGAGATGTGTGCAAACCTACCTACAAGAAATGTCTGACCTCTGTAATTGCCAGCAGAGGTTTTGCCACCAAGTACTAAGTCATCTTTTGCAAAGGGATCAAATACTTATTTCACTCATTATAATGCACATCAATCTCTGACTTTTGTCTTCTGGGTTTCTGGGCGTTTTCCTGCTGTTATTCTGTCTCTCACAGCTACAATAAACCTACCATTAAAATTATGGACTGGTCATTTCTTTCTTAGAGGGCAAACGGGCAAATTTAACAGGGGATCAAATACTCCCCCCCCCCACTGTATGGTCCTGACATGTGTCTCCCAGAAGTTTGCCTAACCCGGTCCTAAACGGTGCCACAAAACTTACCTTACATCATAGTAGAACCGCCTCCTAACTTCTGGTACTTTTTAGGGGGCAATGACTGGCAGTGACAGAATACAAAGTTGCCCCTTAACACATCAGGACCACATGGGCAGCAATGGGAAATGTAGAAGGATGCTGGGACGAGGGCAAGATAAAGGTCATGCCAAATGGCTGTGGTTTGATAAAGGTGGCATGTAGATCAGCTCAAAGGCTGGCCTTTATATCCCACAATGTTCACCTGTTCAGTAGCCCTGTGGCCTCCGTTGAGTTACCTGATCCACATCTCCACTGCAGAGCCTTTGCAGAGCCGCTGCTGATTTCCTTCAGCCTTTGCCATCTTCTCCCAATAAAGCCAAGAGTTGCAAGTGACACCACTCCCCTCTTTGACATCACACAATGAGGCTATTGTGATGTGATGGCTTTGCCTGAGACACAGAGAGGGGGGGGGAGAGCTGTGATTGTGAGGCATACCTTAGCTTCCCCACTCAAAGCTCACCTTTGAAAATTCCCCCCTCAGCCTACATCCCAGGCCAAGCCTCCTCCTCCAATTATCTTTCTTCCCAAATATTATTTCAGCTCATACCCCAGATTTCAGGATGTGATTCCAAAAGCTATTTTCCATCTTGCCTATTGCCTGTAACTCATAGGCTGAAAAGGTTTGCTGACCCCTGCTGTAACTTGTGTCTCTTCTATCACAGCGTGGAACTCCCCAGTTGCGTGTGTATGTGTGGAGCAAGACTACCACACAATGAAGTACTGGCCCACAGACTTGGATGGCTTTCAAAGTTGGTTGGAAAAATTCATGTTGGGAATTACCAATGGGAAGCTGGCTTATGTGAGAACAGGATGCTGCACTAGATGGGCTATTGGCCTGATCCAACAGGTCTCTTCTTAGGTTGGTGGAAATTAGGACGCCTGAGATTGAATTGGACTGGAAATGCCTGATTTCATGTTCCTCCTTGGGGCTTCCCAAAGGCATCTGCCTGATCATTGTGAGTACCGTATTGTTCGCTCTATAGGACGCACCGGACCATAGGAGGGGGAGAACAGGAGAAAAAAAATTCTCCCCCTCTCTGCTCAGCGCCCCTTCAGCGAAGCGGCAGGAGAAATGGAGCCCCTTCCATTTCTCCTCCCGCTTCGCTGAAGGGGTGCTGCACAGAGAGGGAAAACTGTGCAGCGCCTCTCCAGCAAAGCGAAGCCTGGAGAGCAAGAGGGATCGGTGTGCACTGACCCGTCTCGCTCTCCAGGCTTCAGGCGGCTATCCGCAAGCCCCCGGAGCGCAGCGGGAGTTACCGCTGCACTCCGAAGGCTTGCGGATAGCTGCTTGAAGCCCCCGGAGTGCAGCGGGAGTTCCCTGCGCTCCAGGGGCTTCAGGCAGCTTCAGCGAAAGCAACGCAAAGCCTCCGGAGCGCGGGGGGAGCTCTCCCTCTGCGCTTCGGAGGCTTCGCGTTGCTATCGCTGAAGCCAAGGAGCCGGCATCCGCTCCATAGGACGCACACACATTTCCCCTTCATTTTTGGAGGGGAAAATGTGCGTCCTATACGAAAAATACGGTGCTCAAAATGTGCTCATAAATCTCTGAAAGTCACAAACTGTTTCGTAGAATTCTTAAAGTTATGACCACTGCTCCATAGATATTGTTGTTATACAATTCCATTCACCATATAGATGGGTTTATGAAGCATTTCTGTATCCTCCTGCTGTGCTGAAGAAGAATTCTACGAAACAGTGGGTATATCCAGAACCATTGTTCACTATGTCTGCTTGTGGACCACTTTGGCAGTGTTGGATGTCATAAAACAAAGCTTTACGACTTGTTTTCATCAGATAAGAATCTGACCCATTGCTTCTTTCAGGGACTTGCATAGTCTACGAAGACTTTCAGAGACTTATAAGACTTATGTTTATTTCGTTCTGTTTTCAAGAGAATCCATCAAGAGTGCACATTTTGTGACTTTCAGAGATTTATAAGATTTCTGTTTATTTGGTTTTTCATATTGTTCAATGTTCCGTATAGATTATATAAAGAGTTTATATTGATATTGCATTGTTGTACTTGGTCATCGTGTTGCCTTGGATATTACTGATAATTGTTTGCAACACAGGGGTTTAATTGTTTGATCATTGTGAGAACAGGATGGTGGAATAGATGGGACTTTGGTTTGGCCTGATCCTGCTGGGCTCTCTTTATGTTCCTAAAACCCTGATGGTGAGAGTAATATAGACTTCAACACTTCATTTCAAATTCCCTCCCTGCTCCCCATAGTTTTCTCCCCAGCTTCTTTTCGCAAGCAAGGTAAAGAGGCCTTCATTATATACAACCACATGGGATGTGCAGGAAGGCCTGCAGCAGAGCTTTCCAGACTTTTCATGTTGGTGACACACTTTTTAGACATGCATCATTTCGTGACAACCAATTCAGTTTTGCATTATTTCACGACACAGCAATTTAGTTTTACTAGCAAACCGGAGGTTAAACTAACCCCTTTCCAGTCCTGAGAGGAACATGGGGAGCATTCGTGCGACACACCAACACATTGCAGCCGACACACTGATGTGTGTGTCCCTGGCCTACAGGGAGCAGCATTCAGGATGTAAAAAAAAAATTTCCATCCCAAAGTAGCAGCCTTGCACAATCCAAGCAGTGTTCCCTAGCACCTTCTATGACATCACAGAGGGTGACATCACACCTCTCCGCTCTGCTGTGGTGTCCCTTCTAAAACATTCCTATCTCACCTTTCCTGTAAGTTATCTACAAATGTATCAGCATAAGTACCGTACTTTTCCGTGTATAAGACTAGGGGTTTTTTTATTTAAAAATTATGTTCAAAATTGTGGGTCGTCTTATACATGGATACAATCACCCCCCTTTTTGCTGCCCTGGGGAAAAAATTGTAAAAAAGTTTTTGTTCCCCACCCAGATCTTAATACAGGCTGACTGTAGCACAACTGAATTATCAGGAGTCAACTGGGATGCTGTTATTCTTATTTTTAATATCCATCACTTCTTTACGTCCCCCTTTTTACAGCTGTGTCCTGGGTGGTTAGATAAGCTCAGATGGCTCCCAGTTTTGTCCCTTAGGACAGTGGTGTCCAAACTTTTTTCAAAGGGGGCCAGATTTGATGAAGTGAAGGGCCGTGAGGGCTGACCCAAGGGCTGGTCAAAGTCATTGACCTTTTTTCCCCCTTTAGGATTGAAGTTGTTAACCTTTTTTTAGGGTTGAAGTTGTTGAGGAAATAAACTGCCACAGGGGCCAGATTAAACTGACCGGCAGGATGGATTAGGCCCCCGAAACGGACTTTGGACATTCCTGCCTTAGGAGGAGGATCAACCCAGGTGATGATCTGTTAATCGTTCTCCAAACATACAGATGGCAGATCCACCCACCTACCCAAGGCAGTTAACCACATTTCTGGATATCTAAGCACCATGTTATTCGGCCTCACGGTCCAAGTTTCTGGCCCCATATTTATCGAAAATTGCTGACGGACCTCAGGAAGCCCAAATAATATACTTATTAAACGACGAAGATACAAGTAGATCCCTGGCAGTCGCTAGATACCTGATTAATGTTTTATTTCAAAAGAGGAGAAATGGATCACTGTATGACTCTGACAGCTTAGCTAAACTTAAGAACCATCAATAAGTGCCAGAACTAAGACGCATACCCCCCAAAATCTGATGGATTTGAATTGCGGTTTACATAGAGGGAGCTTATTGTGTATAGTGTTTACTTAACTGAAGTAAAATTGGTTTTATATGGGTGTTTTAACTTGGAACTGTTTAAATTGTATTCTTTTGGATAAATTTTGATGTATTGTTTTCGATATGGGCCAATGGCCGCAATAAATCTATACTATACTATACTATACTAAGCACCATGTTCAGTTGTCCAGCTTCCTGTGGAACGACCCTGCTCACAGCACCTGCTGCAGCATTTGCTACAAGGGGTCTGTGTTTCTTTTTTTCTGCTGCAGATTTCCTGGAGTGCAACAACTGCCTGCAGCGCCTCCTCCCAGCATAGTGTCACAGTGTGCAACGTCGCAGCACCAAGAATTATTTTTTAGTTACAGGTTGTTGTGTTGTGTCCTGCACAACCCCAGATGCTCTCTTGATGAAGCTCAGAGGTGGGGAACTTGCGGCCCTCCAGGTGTTCATAGACTGCAACTCCCATCAGCCACTGCTGCATGGCCGATGGTTGGGGCCGGATTTAGGTTTGATGAGGCCCTAAGCTACTGAAGGTAATGGGGCCCTTTATATGACCAGATGTCCTTTGTCAACAATAAATTGTCGCTGTTTTTTTGTGTTGAATATATGCTATATGGCAATTTATGGACCTAATAGGTATCTAAAGCCATTTGCACATGCAGAATGTAGGCACCCTATATAAAGAAATGAGCAAACCAGTGATATTTTAGGAAGCAGGCTAGCAGGCGGGGCCCATTACTTACATCATAGGAACCTACACAACACAAAACACTGTTGCTGTATGTAGGTTTTATTTTATTTGTTTTTTGTCTTATATTTTGGAAATGTACATCCAGTTTTTTTCCCTTTAGATTTTTTTGGGCCCCCAAGAGAGTGGAGCCCTAGGCTATAGCTTGCTTAGCTTGTACGTAAATCTGGCACTGCCGATGGTTGGCAAGGAGTTGGGAGTCCAGCATGGGCTTAGCCAGGAGGGCAGCTGCTTAACTAAAAGTAGAAACCATCAGAATATTTGAAGTTGAAATGCTCGCTGAGGTCACTTGGATGATGTTGTGGCGTATTCTAGTAATGCAACTGGCAACCCAACCGAGTGATTAAGCGTGGGTCCTGCGAACTTCCCGCTTATAGCTGAAAAACTCAGCAAAGAGCAGTTAAAAGGTTCCAGGTTAAAAGAGCTGAACTAGCAGACCTAGTAAAAGAGGTGCAAATCTTTTCCCCTGTGACAAAAAAGGGCTCTGCTCACCTCTCTTGCTCAGCTGTGCACCACTTGTGCCACAGAGTGGTCATTCAGTACCTTGCAGAGAGTAAAGGTAATGGCCAACAATGACAGGGAAGCAACTCAATGGGCTATGCTTACAGAGTGTGCACAGAAAAACTGCTTTGGAAAAAAGGAAAAATTTGAGATGTGCTGAAAAGTGCTTTTACTGCAGCAACCCAGTCATATGCGCAGCTTATTATTATTATTATTATTATTATTATTATTATGGCTTTCAGCAAATCCAAGGAAACTTGTTTTAGTTTGGATTTTTTAAAAAACAAGATGAAAAAAGTCATGTTCTTTGTAATTTTGCAAAATATACTTGAAAGGTACTCCCTGATGTTATTCTTTTCTTTTTCAAATGACCAAAGATTCTGACGGATTTTTCTGAGCACTTGGGGTCAAAAGAAAGTCATTTAAATCCACAATTGTTGAGACACTTCATTTCGAATCTGCTAAACAGAGCAAGACAGAAGATGATGACAGGTGGGTGTCCCGCCCCCCAATAACATAAACCCTGGCTATACCCATGGAGTCCAGCAACACTTGCAAGGCCACAAGTTTCCCATTCCTGTTCTAGATTCTCCGAAGCCTAGTAAGATCTGAGCTCCCATTGCAGCCCACACAGCTAAGCAGAAAGCTGTGCTTGAGGTCATCTCCAGGCCACTGCTGGAATACAGAGCTAAAGGCGAACGAGGAATATCCTTTAATTGCTGCCACAGTGTTCCAGCACCATATGTTCTAGTTGTGGTGGGCAAGATGGTGGCGTCGGAGGAGCGCAGCGCCCTGGCTGCAAGAGAAAGGCTCCTCCTCTGTGCATGGGACCGATGCATGGAGTCGCTGGTGGCGGGCGAGGTGGGAGCTTCGGCTAAAGCGTTTGTGGCACTGTGGGCAGGCGTAGGGGCGCTCGCCCGTGTGGGTGCGCTGGTGCTCCAGGAGCCGGGCGCTCTCGCAGAAACGCTTGCCGCACTGGGTGCAAGCGTAGGGCTTCTGGCCGGTGTGGAGGCGCCGGTGCTGCGCCAGATTGGAGCTCCAGGAGAAGCACTTCCCGCAGCAGTCGCAGGCATAGGGGCGCTCCCCGGTGTGCATGCGCCGGTGCTGCCGCAGGTTCGACAGCTGCGTGAAGGCCTTAGGGCAGTCTGCGCAGCGGTATGGCTTCTCCCCTGAATGCGTGCCCAGGTGGCGCATCAGGTGCGAGCTTTGGCTGAACCCTTTCCCGCACTCGGTACACATGTAGGGTTTCTGGCCCTCGCTGGAAGAGATGGGGGCAGGTTTGGTGGGAAGCACTAGAGCAAAGTCTCCCACAGCCAGTTTCCTGTGACTTAGTTCCAGGCCAGGCCTCTGGGTCTCCATCCCTCCAGGAATGTCTTTTCTCGACAATGTGCTTTTGGCGGCAGAGGTTTCCTGCTCACGTCCCCTCCTGGCATCTGCTGGGACGACATCAGTGGATCTCAACTTCAGGAAAAAGTAACAAGACGTAAAATTAGATGCAGAGAAACATGGGAAGACTGGTTCACATGAAAGCCCTGTTGGATCAGGCCAAAGGCCCATCTAGTCCACAATCCTGTTCTCACAGGGGCCAACCAAATGTGTGTAGGGAGCCCACATGCAGGAAATGAGAGCAACAGCACTCTCCACTCTTGCAATGCCCAGCAAGTAGAATTCAGTGGCATACTGCCTCTTATCTGGCATTTTATTTTCCTCCCCCCCCCCTGAAATTGCTCCTCGGTGCACAATGACAGCAATACAGTCATACCTCGGGTTACAGACGCTTTGAGTTGTGCGATTTCTGGTTGTGCACCACGCCAAACCCGGAAGTACCGGAACGGGTTACTTCTGAGTTTCAGCACTTGCGCATGCGCAGAATCGCCGAATCACGACCCGCACGTGTGCAGATGCACCACTGCAGGTTGCAAGTGTTGCAGGGTGTGAACGTGTTTCCTGCACGGATCACATTCGCAACCCGAGCATCCACTGTAATCTAATGCATTAATAAAAGCAAAATAAAAGCCATAAGCGCGCGCACACACACCTTCAATAAAAACTAAAAGACATCTGCTAAACACCAAATACAGCTCCTTCAAAATGGCAGGGCAAGCAAGGAAGTCTTAACCTGATGCCCAAAACACTGTAATATGCAAGTCGAGCCTCTCTAGGATGTTCCAAAACCAGGGAACTGTTTCAAAAAATGCCCCCTCCTTTGCACAAGCATAACACACTTCAAGTGATGATTTATTTTGGGAGGTGGGGGTGGTCAGGACACCCACTGGTCCTCATCTTCTGGCTGTCTAGCAGATTCGGAACGAAATGTTTCAACAACGTTGTTTCAAATCACTTTCTTTTGACCCCAAGTACTCAGAATGAGCTAAAAATCTTTCTACAATTTCTGCTTTTAGTTCAGTATTTTTATTTATTGCATTGATGCTGCTCCCCCGCTCCCCCCTGGCTATGCCCATGCCCCCTACCCCTGCCACATCCTCCCTGAGTGTGCCCAAGCAGCCCCTGCCTCGCCCCCCAGCCATCTGCATAAGGGGTTCGTCTTCCCTTTCCCCGTGTGCCATCAATCCCTCCCTTGGCACTCGCAGCGGGCACCGCTCTCCCCCAGCTTCGCACAGTCCCTCTGACCTCGCTGCTCAAAGCGGGGCTTGAGCGGGCGCCTCCTTGTTCCAGCAGCAGGGGGAGGTAGGGGGCAGCCCAACCTGCATCTTGCTTGGGGGGCGGGGGAAGGGGGGCATTGGGGATGACGGCGGCCAGGGAAGCGGAGAAAGGAATTGGACCATCTGCAGCCCAGGGCTCAGCTCAGGCAGCCGCTCTGGCCACAGGCAGGGATGGCGCCTGGATTGCTCCATGGTTTTAACCCCTGGTTTTCTCCCTAAGTCTGGGCATGCTGTTGGAATTTTTTTATTTTTTATTTTTTTGGGTGGGGGAAGGATTTGAAAGAGGTGCTGCGCTTTAAGCAGCTCAACGACAGGCAGGCATTCAGCAGGTGTTGTGTGCCTTTCCTGCCCTCCCCCCTTTCCCTCCTGCCCCCAATCAGAGAATTGTAGACTTGGAAGGAACCCCAAGGATCATCTAGTCCAACCCCCGGCAATGCAGGAATTTCAGCTAAAGCATCCATGACAGATGCTATCCAGCCTCTGCTTAAAAGCCTACAAGGAAGGAGAGTCTACTACCACCTCCAGAGGGAGACCGTACCGCTGTTGAACAGTTTACTGTCAGAAAGTTTTTTCGCACGTTTAGTCGAAATCTCCTTCCTTGTAACTTGAAGTCGTTGGTTCGAGTCCTACCCTCCAGAGCAGGAGCAAACGAGCTTATTCCCTCTTCCATGTGACAGCCCTTGAGGTATTTAAAGATTGCCGTCCTAGCTCCTCTTCCCCAGGCTAAACATACCCATTCAACCGTTCATCATAAGGCTTGGTTTGCATATTGTTTTCTCATATTAATGAATTATGAGAGTGCTGCAGGAATTTATGTATAGGTTGGGGGGGTTGCCCCTCCAGCAGACATCATGCGCATGCAGCCCACTACCAAAATCAGCACAATCGCTTTTGTGATTTGTCCCCACAAAACACTTTCTTCCTATCTATTCAAAGGGCCTTTGCTGCACGATACCAAATGTAACAATTCACTGATAAATGTATCTATGTACTGGCTCACTGGGAAAACTTCAGAAATTCATGTAGACATGTGAGCTCAGCTACTCAGCAGCCCCTCTGCCTGAGTGATAATCCCTGGCATCCTGATACCCTGAGTGCCAAACAGGTAGCCATTCCAGAAATAAGAAACCCAGATGAAGACAAAAGGGTGTGATTAACTTGGCTGGGAAACAGGGAAATGTAAATATCTTTTTTGTTACACTTGATGGGTGTTTGGTGGAGGGCAAGGAGAACCATGGGGCAGGGTCCAGGATGCTCAAATTACTACCACCAGACCTCCCCTTTCATGAGGTAACTGTGATGTATGAGAATGATGTCGTTTGGGGGGGTGTAACATGGGGATTAGCAGCTAATAAAAGTTTGGGGACTCTTTTGTTGGGGCTTCCATCTTGTTCCACCTCCTGGCAGGTGGGAGTCCTGTCATGACAGTCTTCAATAAAGACCAAGCCTACTGGCTGCTGTTTTGCTCTGGTATTCCTGGCTGGTGTCCTTGTTTTTTTGTCCAAGGGAGCCCTCAGATTTCTCCGTTAACAAGAGCTGTGTTGAATATATGTCAGGCAGGCAGGAACCCTACCAGGGCATAAAAACAAAGCCACACACCGAAAATGGCACAGGGGTTGCTTTTCCAGATTGTGAGAGGGCTCCTGTACACACCCATCTCCAGAGGAGGGAAAATTCTACCAGATGCAACTTCTCCTCTCATATGAAGGGTTGGAAACAATCCTTTTTCAATGCAAGTTGTTGTTATTATTAATAATAATAATAATAATAATAATAATAATATTGAAACCTGTGTATGTGGTTGTGTATGTATGCACAGGGCCAGTCCCACTATTAGGCAAGCAAGGCAGCTGCCTCATGTGTGCCACATTGCCTGCCCCATGCCCACTAACTGAATGTTGCTGCCTGCCGGTGCAATAGGTGGCACTGCTGGTGCAGAAGCAAAATTCAACTGTAGGCCCATTTGGCTTCCATAGGTGGAATTGTGTGTGTTCCGTTCTGTTCTCCACAGGCAAATGTCTTGGGCCTTTCTTGTCTGTCTTTGTATATTTCACACACCCAGATGGGTGAGCCAGTTTGATGCAGTGGTTAGACAAGGACCCCAGGAGACCAGATTTAAAATCTTCGCTCGGTCATAAAGCCTTGAGCCAACTCCCAATAGTCTCTCAGCCAAACCTACCTCACAGCATTGTGTATGTTGTGGGGAAGTGTGAGTGGGTGTTGAGGGGAGCCACCTTGAACTCTTTGGAGGAAAGGTGGGGTACAAACAAAGTAAATAAACACAGCATCCATGTACGCACCATACATTTAAAGCACACCACCCTCAAAGAATCACAGAATGGTAACGTTGGAAGGGACAGCAAACGTCATCTAGTCCAACCCCCTGCAATGCAGGAATCTTTTTGCCCAACGTGGAACTCAGACCCACAACCCTGAGATCAAGTCTCATGCTCTACAGATGGAGCTATCCTGGAAGCTGTACCGTAGCTGTGTTGTTGTTTTTTAAAGGGTGATGGGAATTGTAGCTTCTGTAGAGGGGGTAATCCATGGTTTTCATTATTTTTTTCTAGGGGCAGGATGTGTTTTAAATGGGTTTGAAATGTATGACTTGTATGCAGCCACACACACACAACAGATAGCTCTGTTGGAGGATATGAGAACAGAATTATATCATAAACCATTCATCTGTCAGATGAATGCAAATATATTTGCAAGGATTCCATTTTTAAAAGACAAGAGCTTTTTTTTTTTTTAAAAAAAGAACATCTCTTTCCTTTCTTCTAATTTAGATTGGTTAGTCCATGGGTAGGCAAACTAAGGCCTGGGGGCCGGATCCGGCCCAATCACCTTTTAAATCTGGCCTGTGGACGGTCCGGGAATCAGCTTGTTTTTACATGAATAGAATGTGTCCTTTTATTTAAAATGCCTCTCTGGGTTATTTGTGGGGCATAGGAATTCGTTCTTTTCCCCCCTCCAAAATCTAGTCCGGCCCCCCACAAGGTCTGAGGAGCAGTGGACTGGCCCCCTCCTGAAAATGTTTGCTGACCCCTGAATAGTCTCTTCCCCACCCCAAGTGGTGGAGCTTCAGATTCTACCTGTGTGACTCATTCTGGGTTACCCACCCAAAACTCTCCCCGACTGGGGATAGGTTTCTCCAGGATCAACATTACCCTTGCTGCTTAAGCACACCTGGAGCTCCAGCTGCTTTTCCTACTCTGTGAACACCACAGAGTGTTTAATGGAGAGAGAAGGGGCAACTAACTTGCAGTGCAATGCTATACATGCCCATGAGCAGTAGGCCCAAGTTCAGTAAGACTTCTTCTTAGCCGAATATAGAATTGCAGCCTTAGGAAAGTAGTTTATTTAAGGAAGTTACTTACTAATTATGGGTAAAATATCTGAGCTTAAAATAACTGTTCTTATTCAGTTTGTGCATTTCTAAATGCTAACAAGTCATAGGCCCTAAACAACACACATGCATTTATTATGTGGCAATAGAGTGAAAGAAATTGCTGGTCGTTATGAGGAAATCACAGGTTTTCCATTAACCTCCTGGGAGCCTTCTTCCTGGCAAGTGAGGAAGATTGGCTTCTCCCACGTCCACAATCCTGGATTCTAATTGTCAGCCCACATTATTCTCCAATCTGCCTTTCTCCAGCCTGCCGCTGCTTATAAACTGCAACTATTTTCCCTGCAACTTGTATCAATGCAAACTGCAGCTCTGAAACCACCTATGGTATTGCCTTCTGCTAACTACCTAGAAGGGACGCGGGTGGCGCTGTGGGTTAAAGCCTCAGCGCCTAGGGCTTGCCGATCGAAAGGTCGGCGGTTCGAATCCCCGTGGCGGGGTGCGCTCCCGTTGCTCGGTCCCAGCGCCTGCCAACCTAGCAGTTCAAAAGCACCCCCGGGTGCAAGTAGATAAATAGGGACCGCTTACTAGCGGGAAGGTAAACGGCGTTTCTGTGTGTGGCTCTGGCTCGCCAGATGCAGCTTGTCACGCTGGCCACGTGACCCGGAAGTGTCTGCGGACAGCGCTGGCCCCCGGCCTATAGAGTGAGATGGGCGCACAACCCTAGAGTCTGTCAAGACTGGCCCGTATGGGCAGGGGTACCTTTACCTTTACCTTTTTAACTACCTAGAGCCAAGGGCAGGGCTCCTTCCATTCGCCGGCTAGCACCTAGCCCTAGCTTTGCTGATGGCTTTCTTAATGGTCATCACCCTTCCCTTTGCCCTCTTATAATGGCCCATCCCTTCAATTTCTTGAACACCGAAAAACTGGTTTGGCCTGTATTTTGATGCTGCTAAATTCTACTGTCTGGCACCCAGGAATTACAATGAAAGGAAATCTCACTGTCACACATAAACCTGCCATCTCCATTAGCAGAAGCAGGAAGTGGCTGTTAACTTCTGAAACAAAGGAGCTAATGAGAAGTACCAATCTTTTGAGTGGCGTGAATTACAATATATTCCCTGTGGAAAGATGGAGTATGAAGAATAACTGTACAAAGCCCTAGCCCATTTTCTTTTTTTAAAAAAAGAGAGCCTCCACGAAGAAGTTTGCCTTCCTTTTATCTTGAACATGTTTATTACAGTCAGTGGGCTAGTCCACATTTCCTATAAAGCCTGGGTCTGAGTGGTTTTCTGCTTGCCCCATGCTTTCTAGGCATGCGTCCAAGTGCTTCTGTCCTCGCCCCACCACATTCCCCTGGAAAATCCGTGGTTTAGCGCTAAATCGGAACCAATGGCAATATGCAGAAAACCCAACTGCTGCTTGTTCCGATTCAGAGCTAAACTGCGGGTTTTCCCTGGGGGCAGAGGAAGTGTGGCTGGACCCTGTGTTAAGTAAAGCAAGACCTTCACCAGCTGATGGGTTAAAAATAACCACACAAAACACTCCTGCAAAATTCTCCGAACTTTTAATATGCCTTGATTGAAGCCATGGAGATTACAGGGTGAGATGTTAGTGAGAGATTTGTGGGTGAAGAAATATAAACGGCTGTTGATAATAAGGGGAATCTACAGATGGAAAGGAAGAGCACCTAAAACGGCTAAAATTCCTGTTAATTGAAGTGTTTTGACTATCTAACAACATCCAGACAATTAGAAACAAAACAAAAACGGGTGTTCTCCTTAGTGCTGTCACTCTGCTTGCTCCAGTCCAGGGACAGAGGCACCAACATGCTGACCCTCACAGAATGAAGAGAGATGATCTGGGCTTGCCAGATCTAGGCCAGAGATCGTGTGCGAACTCAATAAGAGCTCTGCTAGATCCACCCAAAGTCCCATCATAGTCCAGCATCCTGATCTCAGTGGCCAGCCAGATACCTATGAGAAACTGAGTGCAACAGCCTTGCAATTTTCTGCAAGTGGCGTTCAGAGGCATAATACCTCCAACAGCGTCCCTTTAAAAGCTAAGGAGAGTCAGATCAAACCAAAGACCGATCTAGTCAGGAGTCCTCTTTCGAGCAGCGCTGGCCAGATGCTTCAGGAAAGATCACAAGCAGGTCACAAAGGAAAGAGCATCTCCCCGCTGTCATCTCCCAAAGGCTGGGACTCATGAGGCACGCATGCTGCTTTGGAACATGGATGCTCAAGGCATCCACTGATAGGCTGTTCCTCCATGTATTTGTCCAGTCCCCCTTGAGAGCCCGTGGCAACTTGCATCATGCAACAATGAATTCTGTATGTTAAATGTGAAAGTTATTATTTAAGACCTGTGTTTCTTTGCATCTTCTACCAATCAGTTTCACCGGATGACCTCAGGTCCTAACGCTGCCAAAAGAGAAATAAAAACCTATCTGCCCACTTTATTTACACCATGCATAATCTTGTAAATATCTACCAGCCTGCTGTAGCATCTTTCCTGTTCTGAAATCTCCCCCATATGAGAGCAGCAACTTGCAAGTGATCTCAGAGCCCTCAAACTTCCTATTTCCTTCAGGATGTCCTTGGTGAATCACTGAGATCTCCTGGGGTTTCTGGACAAATTTCCTTCTCTCTTCCCTCCTCCTTCAATACTTCATCCTGTAAATAGTCTACTTTCCTGGCTCACCACCAAATTGTGATCCAGAGTTTCCTCGCTGTTCCTGCTGAACCTGCCACATGGAAGTGATACAGTGGTACCTCGGGTTAAGTACTTAATTTGTTCCGGAGGTCCATTCTTAACCTGAAATTGTTTTTAACCTGAAGCACCACTTTAGCTAATGGGGTCTCCCGCTTGCGCCACCGCTGCATGATTTCTGTTCTCATCCTGAAGCAAAGTTCTTAACCCAAAGCACTATTTCTGGGTTAGCGGAGTCTGTAACCTGAAGCGTATGTAACCTGAAGCGTATGTAACCCGAGGTACCACTGTACTTCCTTTTCTATCTCTGTTCCTTCCAAATTGATGCTTGACCTTAGATGTTGCTGAACTGCATCTCCCATCAGCCCTAGCAACAATGACCAATAGCCAGGGATGATGGGAATTGTAGTACGGAGGGCTGAAAGTTCCCTGCACCTACTTTATATAGTATGCCAAGGAGGAACAGCACATCCCACACAGCTCTGAGGCTCCTTGGAGACAAGGTTCAGTTGCAGCCAGCCTTCGACAGCCATCTTTCTTTCCTGACAGAGCTACATGTGCGATTCCATTCTGTGTATCTGCTGAGGGCCCCCTCTGTCTACCCCACTGTTCTCTCCCACTTTCTGCTGGAGTAAAAATAGCATTGCAGTTGCTGCATTGGCTGCAGAAGTTGAAAGAGACTCTGGCAAAGGGACCAAAGGAGTGATGGGATGGGAGGTGATAGTTTTGGCAGTGGTGCAGTCCGGTCATTTTAGCCTTTGGGCCTAATGGTCTCTTGGGAACTCCTCTCTTTAGATATTATAAGGGTAACCAGATGTTCTTCAGATGTTCCTCAACTCCCATCGGCCTCAGCCAGCACAGTCAATGGCCAGGGATGATGGGAGTTGCTGTCCAACATCTGGAGGCCACCACATGGGCTGCCCCTGGTGTATTACTTCACTGACTCAAAACTGTGGGAGGAACATCAGAAGTGCCATACTGGGTCAGACCAAAGGCTTTAATCTCCCACTGTGTTTTCACATAGGAAGCCCATAAGCAAGAAATGAGCACATTTGAGATTCCCCGAAGCTGGTATGCAGAGGCAGACTGCAATCCTGGAGGCAGCACACAGCCATCATGGTCAAGAAACCACTGACTGCCCTCTCCTCCATTAATTTGTTTAATCCCCTTTTAAACCACCAAGTTGGCAGCCATCTATACTTCTTCTAGCAAGCCAGCTCTTCTGCTCTATCTGCTGAGTAAGGCCAAGGACTCCTGCCCCGCTAACACCACTGGCTTTAGGACTTTTAAAAGGACAGAGCAGGGCTCTGTACACACTGTATATTTAAAGCACCTGACCTATCCCCCAAAAATGGTGGGAACTGTAGTTTAAAGGGTGCTGGGAATTGTAGTTCTGTGAGGGCTAAAGTACAGTTTCCAGGCTTCTTTGGCGGAAGCCCTGTGCTTCAAACGTATTATGTGTACACAGCCTGGATCTCTACGTTGCAACCAGGCAACCTTGCTGTGCTGGGATATTCTGTTCTTATTCTCATTTCTGTCTTTTTAAAACACACAAACACACACAGGAAATACCATATTTTTTGCTCTATAAGACTCACTTTTTCCCTCCTAAAAAGTAAGGGGAAACCTGTGTGCGTCTTATGGAGCGAATGCAGGCTGTGCAGCTATCCCAGAAGCCAGAACAGCAAGAGGGATCGCTGCTTTCGCTGCGCAGTGATCCCTCTTGTTGTTCTGGCTTCTGAGATTCAGAATATTTTTTTTCTTGTTTTCCTCCTCCAAAAACTAGGTGCGTCTTATGGTCTGGTGCGTCTTATAGAGCGAAAAATACGGTATGTGCTGTGGTTCTAGCTCTGGACCACAGGGAAGATACACCTTTCATCAGCATCCCATTTGTGACTGATTATGCTCTATGCCGCTCCCCAGTCAAAGCCCCCCCCCAAGAAAGCTCACAATTGTACAACATATAAAACCACCACCAATCACTGTATATAAACCATTGAAAACAACAAGCTAGAAAGGAGCAACTAAGCAAAAGAAAACGTTTACAAAAATGGCAGAGCGTTGCTGTGGAGAAGAGAAGTCTACCCAACTCCCTTAACCTCCTCCTTTCCTTTTAAATTGTTACTGGAACATTTTCACACTTGAGGACCGCTCGGGGGGGGGGGGACCGATCTAAGTTGGCATTGGCGATGTCACGGGAAATATCCGGTTAGTGTCTGTGACAGTTGACACAAATTGCATTTCAGACAGCCCTCCAAACTGCTAGCTTGGGAAAGAAAGCCACGTTCCCCATAACACTGTGTTGTGGTTTGAAAGAAATATCACCTAAAGCGGAAGTGCTTTTTGGAAGGAACATGTTGGGATCTCATGAATGGCCCTAACTCGACTGTGGCGGGAGGGTGGCACCCCTGAAGTACCTTTCGCATTAACAGTGCCCCCCAGCCCCCCACAAGTCTCCAACGAAGCTCATAAAATGCGGGGTGCCAGCCAACTCTCCCCTCCTTCTATCTGCAGCCACAGTCTGCAGCCACAGTCTCTTCACTGAGCAAAGCGTCAGGCAAGAAAGGCTGGTGGTTTGCGACCCAAAGCTTGGTTCCCTCTTCAAGGCGGGCACTTGTAAGGTCTCACGAGGACCATGTGGGTTTTCTGGTGTGTGCTGAGGCCGGACCTTTGCCGGAAACTCTTCCCACATTCCGTGCAGTGATAGGGCTTCTCCCCGGTGTGGATTCTCTGGTGGATGGTGAGGTGGGAGCTGACGCTGAAGGTCTTCCCGCACTCGTCGCATTTGTAAGGCCTCTCCCCGGTGTGGATCCGCTGGTGAAGGATGAGGGTGGAGCTCTGGCTGAACCTTTTCCCGCACGCTTGGCATTCGTACGGCTTTTCCCCCGTGTGGACCCTCTGGTGCTTGGTCAGGTGAGAGCTCACGGAGAAGCACTTCCCGCAATCCACGCATTTGTAAGGCTTCTCTCCGGTGTGGATGCGGCGGTGGAGAACAAGGGTGGAGCTCTGGCTGAATCTCTTCCCGCATTCGTTGCACTCGTAAGGCTTCTCGCCCGTGTGGATCCTCCGGTGGATGGTGAGGTGGGAACTCACGCCGAAGCTTTTCCCACAATCGGAGCATGGGTAGAACTTATCGGCAGGATGGGGGGCTCTCTGGGGCTGGGTGACGCTGTGCCGAGTTTGGGCAAGGCTCTCCCCACACTGGACACACAGGCTTGGGCCAGGCCCCATATAGACCCGGGGCGGGAGACTGGGGTTGCCTTTTGGCAATGGAGGAGGAAGAGGCGGCTTGGCCCATCCTTTCCCCGGATCCTCGCTTTGCTGCCCAGCCTGGTTCTGGCCTGGGTAAAGGGAGCCTTCAGGGCGTCCTGGAACCTGCTTCTGTGTCGGCGCAGCCTCTGCACCTCCAGGCTGGGGATTTGGGTTCATGGTTCCTCCATCTATCAAAGGAAAGAGAGTGAAGCAAGCATGGGATAATTTCCACCCCCTTTTTGCTTTGTTTCAACTTTTTATATCTGAATGGTTACCTTACCTTGTTGGTCTGATCATTTGCTGTTTTAAGTGGTGTTACCAACCTGAGATATTTGGACGGATGGATGGGGGGCAGGAGTAAAAATAACTAAATAAAACCCATTTGCTGGTGCTGCGGTTTAAAAGCATCGTTCCATACAATAGGTGAATTAGACCAACCCAGACCCAAGAGGTAGTGCTGGCTGACACTAATATTAACTTCTAAGTCCTGACATTCCATAGCTTACCAGCAGAATTCTATGGGAATTCCACCAGAGTTATTGGGTTTGGCCTCCACAAGTATCAAACACTCCAAATATTTCTGTGATGTAGGACTTCTGACTATACAGGGACAGGAAATTTTCTCCTAACTTTCTATCTTCTCTCCATCTACCACAAGATGGAGTAATCCTAATCTTCTGAGGCTTTTCTGTGAGCTTACTAAAGAAGTGTCCTGACATATTTTCATTGGAGAGAGTTTTGCTGGCTTAGCAACACGCAGCCTTCTAGATTTCAAAGGAACTCTCCTGGCCTGATCAAGAGTTCCCTGCAATTCAAAAGGCTGCATATTCTTAAACCAGCAGAAGTCAATGTCGCCATACGTTTTTGGACCTCTGGGATCTCAGGTTTGCAATAGCCATCTTTACTACTTAAAGCTGATTTTATTTGAAATTTTTTTTAATATAAAAAAGAAGTAAAAAAAGAAATAAATAAAAAGAAAAGTCCTTACCTAGTGAGAGTAGAGTCCCATAATTGTCCTGCACAATGTCCCTGTAGACAGGTCTCTGGCATGGGTCCAGAAGGGCCCACTGAATCTCAGCAAAATACATCAGTCACTTCTGCAGAAGGCTGTGGCCTCTGAAAAAATAAGTTTCCCCTGCTCAGAATCCATCACCAACCCTGCCGCTTTGGGCCTGTAACGTGGCCTTTGCTGGACAGCATTAGCCCCCCTGATCTCAAAGCTACAGGATTCCTGCGGCCCTCCTCTCTCTCTCTCCCCTGCAAGATCAATCCTGCTGCGCCTCCCGTCTCCCTGGCAAGGCTGGTGCACTTTTAACAACTTTGGGCGACGTGCAGAAATTCAACAGGTGAAGAAGACTTTCCTGGGCCGATTTCTGCACGGCGTGCACAGCTCTTAAGAGGCACACGAGTCCTGCCAGGAAGGCGACGGCGGCGGGTGGAGGAGGACGAGGAGGAGGAGGCAAGCTTTCCTACTTCCTCTACCAACCCAGCCCAAGGTCTGCGTCATTCTCACGTCTTGCAAGCTCTCTTCTTGTTTATATACGCGTAGGGAAGATCCTGGTGTGCGCCCCCCCCATACCTTGTTTGGAGGGGGGGAGCGGTTCGTTTGGAGAGCAGAGGCGCTGATGGAACGGCGGTGTGTTGGCTCCCCGCTGTTTGTGATAGGCCCCCCCTCCCCGCCCCCCCCTTTTAATGAGGAAGTTGCCTGGCTACGTTGCTGGACTTTTGGCTGGCTGCCCAAACCCCAGTCGGCGGGAGTTACCTGGAAGTCTCTGGCTTCAGGATCGGGTCCTTGAGAAGCTGCAGAGTTCGCGATCTCTCCTTTAAATGATAATATTAAAAAGGGTGGGAGGGGGGAGAGAGAAAAGAAAGAAGTGGGGGCGGGGGAGAGAAAAGCAACCGAGGCCGATAAAGGTCTCTCTCTCCCTTGAGGATGCGGCTGGAGAACGAGGAGATTTCTTAAAACTGGAGGCTCCCGCAGCCCCGTCGGGGTGGCGCCGGGTCTGGGCTTGCTGCTGCCGCTGCTACGCAAGCAGCAGCAGGAGGAGGAGAAGCAGCAACAACAAGGCTCTCCGGCGCTGACCTGGGAAGTTCAGCCCCCAAAATCGTCAGCGGGAGCAGCAGCAGCAGCGAGAGAGAAAATGAGAACAGTCGCCTCTTTCTCTGCCTCTCCTTTTTTTGACAATGGCCAGAGCCCTCTAGCGGCATCGCTTCTGTTTTGCAAGGCGGAGCAGCCGCCCCAAACAAGAGGCCGGCGCGGAGCCCCCCTTGCCAAGCGCCGCGGCGGGGGCCGAGGACCGAAGCGGAGCCCGGCCGACGCGCAGCGCGGACGGGGGCGCTGGGCGAAGCCGAGGCGGCTTTCCAAGGGCTGAGCGGGATGCAGTGGGAGGGAGGGCTGACTCCAGCGGGACTCTCCAGGTTCACGGAGGGGACATGTCACTGAGTACCAAATACCTGTGCCTGGACAACGACGAGCGAGCTTCCTGGGCCTCCGGATGCACGTGCCTCTGGGGAGCAGGGTGCTGCACTAGTTAGACGGGCCTCTGGTCTAACTGGCAGTGCATACATTTAATAAATAAAATAAGTAATAAATAATCCAGACTAAAACATCATTAGGCCAGAGGGGTATTGTGCACCCAAGACTGGCATGGCATCAGAAGAAGAGAATCCCACTAGCATCTTCTTCAGGGCAGTAACCCCCCTAATAATAATAAAAATAAGGTATTCCATATTTAACTTCACTCCTATAGATCCCTGCCCTGCAGCTGCGCTACTCGGACAGGCACCCTGCAGGTGCATTTAATACTTAAAAAAAAAAAATATATATATACCACCCTTTATCCGAAGATCACAGAGTGATTTGAATTTTTTTTAAAAAAATGAGAACACAACATACCTATATAGCATAGTCACAAACCAGAACCTCCGTCTAGTTTAAAAGGCAAGGTATTTTTAATTAGCCAAAGGCCTGGTAAAAGAGGAATATTTTTGCCTACTGCCTAAAGATATGTAATGAAGGCGCCAGGCGAGCCTCATGTTGCCGCCCTCCGGACCTCTCAGTGGAGGAGGCACACAAAGAAGGGCCTCAGAGGATGATCTCAGAGTCTGGGTAGGTTCATACGGAGAGAGGCAGTCCTCGGGGTATTTAAGGCTGTTTAAGGCTTTATAGGTCAAAACCAACACTTTGAATCTGCCTGGAAATTGATTGGCAGTTGGGCCAGGATTGGCGTCATATGTTCAAAGCATCTTGTCTCAGAGAGCAACCTGGCCTCTAAATTCTGCACCAGCTAAGGTTTCTGAACTGTCTTCAGAGGCAGCCCTGTGTATAAGGCATTGCAGTAATCTTAACACTGAGGTCCAGGACATCCACTGCCACACCTGTAGATGTAGAGCAGAACATATTGAAGGCTCCACGGAGCCCAAGAGCACACACCAAGCATCACAATCTGGAAATGATCATCCAAGTAGGACCTGAACCACTGAAAAGCAGTGCCTCCCACCCCAACTTGGACATCTGCTCCACAAGGATACGATGCTTGATATCAGAAACTGCTGAGAGGTTGAGAAGAATTAAAAGGGACACATTTCCCCTGTCTCTCTGCCAAGAGAGGTCATCAGTACAGGGTGACCAAGGCAGTTTCTGTGTCCAAATCAAGCCTAAATTCTGATTGAAATGGATCTAGAAAATCAGTTTCTTCAAAGAGTGGGTAGATCTGGTCTAGCACTTAATTTCAAAGTGTTGGTTTTGTCCTAGAAATGGGGCTCAGGACCCGTGTTTGCAGAATGCTCTCACCAAGGAACTCTGCCTGGTGCCATCATTATATATTTTCAGGTGCCAGGCCAAAACCTTACTTTTTAATCTGGCTTTTAACTACGGTAGGTGGGATGTTTAAATGGATACCCTGCCTCACTTTAATGTATGCATTGTTTTTTTGTAAGTCATTTTGAGCTTTGAATTGCCATGGCAACTAATAAATGTATTTTGTTACGTTATGTGTTTTCATTTTGTATTTTTATGCTGTAAACTGCCCTGTGGTCTTTGAATGAAAGATAGTATATAAATTTAATAATAATAATAATAATAATAATAATAGACTAGGCTTTCAGTGATGCAGCTCCAGCCTTTGGGATGTTACCAGCTGAAATTAGACAAGTGTCTACTACCTTAGTATCTTGATGTTTAGGCAGCTTTTTGTTAAGTGAAATTAACGATGCAATTAAAATTATAAAATTAACCAAATACTTGTAGACCTGGTTTGATTGCTTTTAGTTTCTAGATTCTGTATTTTGTCTCATTCTACATCATTTCTGTAGCTTTGGTTGCAAAATGGTTTACACTGACAGCAGGCAGACACCAACGTTGTGTTCTTTCTGGCATTTGCTTAAAATATTTTTGTTTAGGCAGGTCTATCCAGACATGTAGATGTTGATGTATTTTAATGGGTTATTCTTTCTTTCTTTTTGCTGACCACTAGTTTTAATGCTTTCTAATCACTTGTTTTAAACTGTTTTTATTGATAATTTTAACATTTCTTGTAAGCTGCCTAGAGATTTTGTTACAATCAAGCCATATATAAAATTTGTTGAATCAATCAATCCACAAGTAAACACAACAAATTGTTGCCTTTTCCTGACACCCCTGAGGCTCAAATGACACACTGTGTTTAATGTGGTTCTAGAGTAGAGTCCGAAGACACAGGGGGGCACCACCTTGCTGAAACTAAGCAGGTCTGTGCCTGATCAGTTGGGAGGAATAGACTACCTGAGAACCACATATACACAGCCTTGGGTTCCATGGTAGAAGGCAGTCAGATTTTCTTTATTTCTCTTTACTATTACATTTATAGTCCACCCTTCCTCCAATGAGCTCCAACCGGTGTACACCATTCTCCCTCCTCCTATTTTATCCTGACAACAACCCTGCGAGGTAGGTCAGGCTAAGAGTTGGTGACTGGCCCAAGGTTGCCCAGTGAGCTTCATGGCCAAGTGGGGATTAAACTCTGGTCTCCCAAGGTTCTAGACCAGACCTGTGGCCACTATGAAACCCTGACTCTTGTGTGGGAAGAATGCCAAGCACAAGTTGTTCTGTATGCTCCAAAGCTAAGCACTTAGGAACACTGAAGGCAAAACAGCTGGGACTCATCTTCTGCAAACCACCCAAAGATCTAGCGGCACATCCCAACCTACCTTCTGCCTACCCGCTGCTCTAGCATAGGAGTGTATTTTTGCCCGCTGACACAGCAATAGGCAGCTCGCTGCGTTTTGGACCCACTCAAAATGTCCAGGTAAGTCTCCTAGCCGTGTCAGGTTATTACACCCAAAAAAAGTGTCCTAGTACTTAGGATTTCAACAAGGCATCTTGGAATCAGGAAAAGTGTTTATTTCATACAGTGAAGAGACAGACACTGTTAGTACGATAGGGAAATAGATTAAGATACCATGGGCAATACCAGGGAAAGTAGGAAGTTGGTGGTGGGCATTTCATAGGGGCGGGAAACCCAGGCTTAAGTTTGGCTACGATACTGCTGCGATGGCATTTACAATTGTTTTGTTAAGGCATACCCATTGGCAGTAATAAAAATCATAGAAAGTACAGACCAAATAATCCAAAACATCCCTGCCCACAAACAATTCTAAAGCAAAGGAAACCTAAACCCCCCACCCCCAGTCCTCACAAAGCCTAAAACGCAGAGCTCACAAACATTGAACTGAGCCAGAGTAAAACAAATACCCCAAAACTGGCTCCATAGGTGGCACCAGAGTGGGAAGATGGGGAGCAAGCTATGCCCCCTCCTGCAAACTGATAGCTTGCTCTTTGCTGGAGCCTCCTGTGAAATGGAAAAGGCTTTCTGTTATTCACTAGTAAGGAGGAAAAAAACACCACATACACTTTTGCCAGACAACACCTAAACAATATAACTAAATCATAAACTAGGAATTAAAAGAAGGCCACAATTCTAATGCATGCTTACTTGAAAGTTAACTCTATCAAAACTAATAGGATTGCAATCGCGTGAGGGGGGCTTGGGACATTTACTCCAGGGAAAAACAGGACGGAAGCATGAAAGTGAAATACGCCATTGTTTCTCTTTCACAAATCTTAACATGTGGAACCGTGTTCCCACCACCCAAAATGCACTTTGTCCCTTCTGCCACCCCACAGAAGTGGTGCTGATGCTCATAAACGAGTTCAGAAGACTCAGCTGCTCTCAGGAACACCCTTAAGAACACGAGAACCTAAGAAGAGCCTGCTGGATCAGGCCAATGGCCCATCTAGTCCTGCATTGTTGTCACAGCAGTCAACAACATGCCTCTGGGAAACCTGTAGGAAAGATTCGAGCACAAGAGCACTCTCCCCGGCTTTGGTTTCTGGCAACTGGTTTTCAGAATTATTGCTGCCTCCAACTGTGGAGACAAAGCACAGCCATCATGGCTAGTAGTCATTGATTGCCCCCTCCTCCTCCATAAATTTGTCTAGTCCTCTTTTGGAGCAATCTGGTGCCCATCACTGCCTCGTGGAGGTGAGTTCCATAGTTTAACAATGCACTGAGTGGAGAAGTACTTTCTTTTATCTGTCCCAAATCTTCCAACATTCAGCTTCACTAGATGTCCACAAGCAGGTGGACATCTGCTCTCTTGTGGGTAGGAGTTGAACGACTGAACCAGCCTTCGACAACCTGGCGCCTTTTAGATGTGTTGGACTATATAGCTCTCGTCAGCTCCAGCCAGCAGAGCCGTAGTTTGAAACATCTGGAAGACACCAGGTTGGCCGAGGCTGTGAGCCAAGGAGTTCAAATGTACACTTTTAGGTGGCCCCAGATCCTGGCATCTAGACACCGTTCTTGAAGTACTACAGGATCATTTTCAAAACATCTGGTTGGAAAAGCCTGACACAAAGAATGAGACTGGGGGGCGGGCAGGGGAAGGTTCCTGGACCACTGCTATTTTGCACATGGAATTCAATCACATGCTAGCAAGTTCAGGTTGAGCAATTAATAGTGGATTTAGCACTTAAAAAAAGAGAGCCACTTTTTAGCAGTAAGGAAAGTGATGGGGAAATGCACTGGAAGGTGTGCAATAATAACTGCTTGATGTTACATCCAAAAAGAAAAAGAAGAAAAGAATTAAAATAAATAAAGAAGAAACACTTTCCAGGTTGGGGATGGGAGAATGGTAATCCATAACATCACATCTATGGCAGCAGAGCTGGTCTGGTCACTACGAGCCAATTTCTGCTTTTCTCCAAGTACTGCTACTACAGAAATGACTGATTTCACCAAAGTCCACAATTGTACAGGGGAAAAAATTAAAAGTATACCACCAGCAATGATAGTTCTACAATACTGCTGCACAACTTGAAAAATTATCTATATACAAGCTGTTGGGAGGTGTTTTTTTCAAAAAAGAAACTGCCATTAGCAAAGTCATAGGCCAGGCATAACACAACATTATGGGTACAGCGCAGTGAACTTCAGGCTCTGAAGTCGCACTGGAATCAATAGGCTTTTGGCATCCTTCTATCTGGAGTGCACCACTCACATGGGAAATGAGACCCTTTCCTGCTCCCCCAGAATCTACCAGTCATAGTTGTACATGAGTCCACAGCAGACATAGGGTATATGCATGCAAAATGTCTAATAAAAATGACCAATCAAGTGCAAGATCAAAAATACTTTTTTCTCCAGCATAAACCCAGCAGAATCAGCATATTCCTTCCTTCCAAGATCAGGCAGCTGAGGTCTGCAACAAGAAACACAAACCAGTTCCCTACTGCCTGACTCATGAGGAGTCCTCTTTCTTGGATGGCAGGATTAGAATCAGGCCCTGAGTGGATGGCTCTTCTTTAGAGACCTCTGTATGCCCTACAGGTCTTCCACTCTCCAAATAATGGCTGAATTCTGCCTTCAGAATTTTCCATGCATTTGCACTTACGATTGCAAACAGTACCACAATCATTTCCCCTCTGTACTCTCTTGTACAATGGATTGGCAACAAAATGACTTGTTCACTTTAGTGTTTGTGCGCTGACTTTACCGCTTAAGCAAACTCCTGCTGTTTACAAGGATAGGTGCAAACACCCATAGGTTTGTGGGGTTTTATTGGCAGTGGAGAGTTGACCTCTCTGGCTAACAGGGGTTTAGCAAAATGAATCAATGGCTGCATCCAGCTTAAATAACTTAACACTTTTAATTTTGCTGGAACCGGTGGGACTTAATACAGTCACGACCAACTTGTCTTACTGATTTCAATGAGCCTACAGATGACTAAGAGCACCATCCTATCAAATGCTATTCCTCTGTTCAATGGGACTTTCTGCAAGGTAAGAATATGGCAGATTGCAGCCCGAGTCTGGAGTCAACAAATATTCTTCTTTTCTTTAACAGTTTGTTGTGTGGCATAACCTCCACACTTGGGAATGGAGGCTGGCCCATTACGGTGAATAGGGCACTGCCCTACCCATCTCAAGTCTGCCCTCAGCCAGTCCTCCCTGCCTTCTTTCTTACCATGGTGCAGGGGGGGGGGTTTACACCGTCTATCAGCAATCCTTAGTCTCTGTGTTGTTCTTGCCCAAGTCAGCAGGGAGAAAGATGGGAACTGGAATTACTTGGCTCTGCCTGTCATTGGCTGTGGCTCCACATTTTATTGATCTTACAGCCCCATGGGCAACAGCTATAACGACACACATCTAGAATGGGTGTGGGTGTGTGTAGGTCCAGATTTTTAAGCCATGGGTCAGAGGTGACATATTCTTAGAAAACTGTCTTCCCCCACTCCACACATCTGAAAGCTTATTGATAGACAGGAGGAGGACGTGTTTAAGCCTAGGTGAGGGAAGCAAGCAGTTTCACTTCCAGGAAAAGCTGCCTTCTGGTTGTGATGTATGAGGGAGCAGACCTGAAAACTCTACCTCTGGCCCAAAGCGAACTGACTTAGCTTGTGCTCCTCCCTTGAAGCATCAAGGCTCAAATCAGACTCGGGAGCCTTGGCCCTAGTGGAAGGAACGTCACACAAACTGACCACCCAAGAGGAAGGGAAAACTATACCAGTCTCAAGTGTGCTGTATAGCAATTACTAGGGATATCCCCATTCAGAAAGGCAAAAGCCTGACTTTGGGGAGATAAACCCCTAAGGCAATTAAAAGGTTGCAACCATCATTTAGGGCACGGCAGAACATTCCAAATATTCCTCTAGCAATTGCAGGGTCTTGGGAATCCCAAACAGAAAAAGCCAACCACAAGTCTGTACTATGCAGAATACTGAACAAATACAGGTTCACAATTTCAGTATTTCCACTGATTGAGCACTCAGAGAGAAACCATTGTCAGGCTTAGTGCAGTTTCAAATTCATAGGAAGCAGAATAAAATAAGAGTTGAAATAGAAGTATGAAACAGCTGCAGTTTTGACCCATCAACCTTAGTATTCTTTCCAATGACTCTTGTGGTTTTTGTTGCGCTACATCATGTTGGCCATTGAGATTCTGATGTACAGATGCTGTTTCTCCAATTTTATATTTAGAAAGAGTTCAGAAAACAAAAGAGTCTGTGCCTGCATCTTGCTGGCAGTTCCCTTTGTTACGAATAACATGGGCTTCAAAGATTTAGACCTGTCATTAGGCAAACTAGTAAAGGTGTTATAAAGTATTTCTGCTCTTAGCCGAACAAATGGAGAGTTGGCAGGTTGCTGTCGCTCCTTGGCTCCTATTTCTTCCCTCCGTTGAGTTTAAATTTATTTCTTTTGTGTGTGTTCATAAACTCAAACCTTTCTCATGAGATGTTTTGCTCCATACTTGCTGTACTTCTGCACTGCTTCATCACCCTGGATTCCAAAGAGGCCACATCAAAAATGACACATGCAGAGGCCAAAGGCCACATAACTCAAGGCTATCACATGGGGGAATCCATGTCTTAGGGAGGCCCCGATACAAGACCATGGATGTGCCCTAGTGCTATGCCTCTAAAGAGCCCGAGTGCCCAGGACCTTCAAAAAACCACACATCAGATTAGTTAAGAGCCACAGACAGGAAACTGGGAGACAAGCAAGACAGTGTTTCCTAGGAGCGCAGGCTTAAGCAGAGAAAGTTTTGGGGACTCCAACTAAGAAGTTTGCTGCCTCCACATCTCTTTCCATATGTTTCAGAGCAGCAAGATATCTGACTTCCTCAAGAATCACCAAATGTCCCCTTAAATGTCTTCTATAGAGGAAAATCAGCTAACTATATTGTGTGGAGACAGCTGACAGTATCATTTATAACTTCCTCCTCCATTTAAAAAAGCACAAGTAGCTACATTAAAAAACCCAACTAATTTAAGGTTAGTTTTTTACCCTATCTCTCAACTACAACAGAGTTACGCTGTGAAATGTATCAGCAGAACTATAGTCTTGTCCAAGGAGAAGAAAACCGTTCCAGATAGGAGATTCAGCCTTACCAGGAGATGCCAAAGATTGGACCTGGAACACTATGCATACAAGACAGATGCTCTACCACTGAGCTACAGCCCTTCTGAAGGGCGGAGGAGAAACCAACCCAAACAAACCCCAATGAGAACAGAGCACGCTCGGTGGCCACAGAACACCGAGTATCTGTCAGGTGGGGCAATGGGACAGAAAACTGGGAGGTGGGGAACAGGATGGAGTACTCTGAAAAGAGGCGTGGCTGGCAGGCAAAAGCACTGTAACATTTTGTTGCAGATCCCGCTTGCAAGATAAAAATACTGCAAAACTAGATGCACACACTGCCAAGTGCCATGGAAGAGACATAGACAAGTTCTGAGAATTGGTTCAGAAGCAAACCAATAGCCTTTCCCCCCAGCTGAAGGATACTGAAATGCTCAAAGGTCAGGCCCAGTGTTCCTGGTGTCATTTCCTGGGTACTGTGGGCAGATGAAAGTATGATATAAACTGCTTTTTCTTGGCCACGATGGCTGAAATGAAAAGCTGAGGGAAAGGAGGGTGGAAGAGTTACTCTAACTTCATTCCAAGTGAATCACCAGAATGATGCTTTTTTTTACTCCACAGATTGGCATAATGTTTACATGCTCCCACATCCGTTGAGATGCTGGAGGTGTGCAAGGGGGAGGTGTGCAAACACCTCAAGTCTAAGCGTTTGTTCAGCGTTTCTTACTTTTGACGCACAGCATATTTCTTGATAGCCAAGTGGAAATTTTAAAAGGGTGGCTTTCATTTGCCATACCGAAGAGAAGGAAAAACACCCACTCCCACATACAGATGGCGTCGGGAAGATTTGACACTGACCTTCCCGCTCTGAAAGAAGTAGCAGAACAACCTGCAGTTCCAGCATTTAAAATTATCGTCATTAGGTCTGCAAATGAACTGAGTGTGAAGTCCACATTGCTTCGGTCTTTGTGCAGACCAGGGACCAACCACTGCTGAATTTGTTATGCTCAATTCTCTCTCAAATCACAGCAGCTAAACACTCAGGTTATTTTATAGCATGGAGAAAAGACATGGGGAAGGGGGGGAAGAGCCATCCTGACATAAAGACAAACATATGTCCAATACTGGCCATTTCTCACCCCCCGTTTGGATGGATATAGGACCAACCCAGCTGACTAAACTTTATGGGTTCTCTGGTGCCTTACAAGGTGGGAGGCCGCCCCAAACCCTTTCCCGCAGCTGGCACACTTGAAAGGTTTCTCCCCCGAATGTGTGGCACGGTGGCGCTCCAGGTGGGCATTGCGGGTGAAGCCCTTCCCGCAGTCGCCGCAGGAGAAGGGCTTGTCCCCGCTGTGGATGCCTTGGTGGCGCTGGAGGTGTGCGCTGCGGGTGAAGCGCTTGCCGCAGCGCGTGCAGCGGAAAGGCCTCTCCCCGGTGTGCGTGCCCTGGTGTCGGGTGACGTGGGCGCTGCGTGTGAAAGCTTTGCCGCAAACGCCACACTCGTACGGGCGCTCCCCGGTGTGCGTGCTGTGGTGCCGGGTGAGGTGGGAGTTGCGCCCAAAGGCCTTCCCGCAGTAGGTGCACTTGTAGGGCCTCTCCCCCGAATGGGTCTCCTGGTGCCGCGCCAGGTGGGCGCTCTTGGCAAAGCTTTTCCCACAGTAGCTGCAGCTGAATGGCCGGTCCTCTTCCTGCACCTGCTGCCCGAGGCGCTTCCCGCCCAAGGGGCGCTGGAGCCCGGAATGGGTGGCCATGTGTCGGGTCAGGTGCGAATTGCGCCGGAAGCCTTTCCCGCAGTAGGGGCACGTGTGAGATTTCTCCCCCATGCCAGCGGCTGCTGGTGGTGGTGGTGGTAGTGGTGGCGGTCCGGGGAAGGTACCTCCGTAGGAAAAGGAAGCTCCTGCCTCAGCACACCTCACCTCGGCCTGGCCTGGCCAGCAGTGGTTGAACAGACCTCCTGCCAGCCCAGAGCAATAGGCCTGGCCTATCTCAGGGCTTCTCCCGCAGTAAGCCGTTTTGATCGTTAGGTTTTTTTCTTTCTTTATAAGCCTTCTTTCAACCACTTCTCACCTTCTCAGCCTTCTTTTGACTAACAGGTTTTGGACCTTTGCCCACACCACCTGCTCGAGAAACAGAGAAAAAGAAAAGAGAGAGAGAAGGAACATATATGAGTTGTGGCCAAAGCTGAGCAATAGGATGAGAGAGACAACGTAATGTAGGTCAACAAAGTTTATGAATACTTTTCACCTGCTGCACTCACCATCTTCACCCCCACATACATTTTTTTTAGTGGCTCGTGTACTTTTGGGGAAATGTAGTAGATAAAAAATAGCATTTTACATGTTTTATTACTGCACTATTGATGTGCATTGCGCACATTGTACCTTTAGATCCAGGGCATTTTAGGCTTGTTGTTAATAACGCACTTCCAAAGAAATTGGTTTTTTTTAAAAAATGTCAAATTATACTTTTCAGGTAAGATCGGCCCCCAAACCAGCTTACAAGGAGAATCTACCAATGTAGAATCAGAATTCCATCTTAAAACCATGGCCAGCTGAGACACAGTGGCTTTGACACCAGTCCACAGCCACCTTTTCCTTCCCCACTCATTGTTTCGCTTACCATCAGGCCTGGTGAAGAGTCCCGGAAAACTTGCACACTATGTTGTGATGTTTAATAGTGAATGTGTATTTAGCTCCCTGCCCCACGTAACTTACGCTCTACGTTAAATCTTAAATGCTACTCAGAAAAACAAAACAATGGTTCTTGAACCTGTGTGGGTGTGTATGTGCAGGGCTTTTTTTAAACCTGAGCTCACAGGACCTCAGCTCTGGCACCTCTCAGGTGGGCGCCATTGCCATTCTAAGAGAATAAGGGAGAAGCTTGGGCACTCCCCCCCCCCTAGAAAAATAGCACTGTGTATGTGTGTGAATATATATATATGTATGTATGTATGGGGTCCCTTTACCTTTATGTATTTATATACAAAGAGAACAAGCCAAGCATTTCTATAACACCTCAGATACATCATTAGAAAGCCGCACCCACACAGCCTTTTTCTTTTTTTCCCCATTACAAGCTAAATCGCACAAATCCGATGGGTCTCAATGGGGCTTCCCCCCTCCCCCCGGTAAGTCATTACAGGATGACCGCCTTCAATCTGCAGAAAAATAAAATAAAAAAAGAATAACTCGCAACGAAAATCCCACCCGAGGTTGGGCCGCGCTTAGTCGCGGAAACGGGGCGAGTGGGAGGAAGACAATTAAAGGCCGAAAGCGAGGAGGGAGGAGAGAATCTCCCTGCTGCAAAAAAAAAGGGGGAATAAGGAAAGAGAGAAAAACGGGGGGAATGTGGGGCACGGAACTGGGAGGCGGGAAGCGCCCTCCGGCGCAGGGGGCGCGCGCCGCCCTCCCCGGCTCCGCATCGTGGGCTCCGCCCTCCTCTCCGTCCAAGGCGCTCTCACCGATGCAGCCCCGCGCAGGGATCCCGGAGGGGGGGGGGGTTCGCGCGCCCTTCGGCAGGCGCGTCCGGAGCTCGGGCCCTGGGAGGGAACCAGCCACCCTCGCAGCGTGTGTGGGTGGGTGGGCAGCGGCGGGTCCGGGCACAGGAAAGGACCCCTCGCTGCATCCTGTCCCCTACCCTTCGCTTCGCGCGGCGGCGGCAGCTCCGGCTCGATGGTTTTAACCCTGCTCCAGCCGACGAGGGAGGGAGTTCGCCCGGCTGGGTTGGGAAACAGCAGCAAGCGCAAAGGGAGCGGAGGCACTAAGCATGCGTCAGCATCATTATTAAGAAAAGGCACGACGGCAAGCTCTCGCCGCTCGTTTCCACAGACCCGAGAGGCAGATTTATTTCTTTCCGTTAAAAAAAAGAAAACCCGCTCCGAAGGCAGAGGTCGCATTCAGCACCGATTTGCAAGATTTGCTGCCGTGCGGGTTTCACAGCAAGGGCCTCCCTTGAAGGGCTGTGGTGTTGGTGGTGCGCGCACACACCGTATATTTAAAGTTCATTGCCCTCCCTCCCCCCCAAATAATCCTGGGAAACGTAGGTCGTTCAGGGTGCTGGAAGTTATAGCTCTGTGCGGGATAAACTGCGGTTCCCGGGACTCGTGCGTGTGCTTTAAATGCACAGCGTGGTCGTAGCATCCTTATGTGAAGCACTTTGAGCGCAGTAAGGTGCATAGTCTTATTAAATCATTTGATGCGCACAGTTCGGCTTTAGCAACAGTTTTAAATATTGGCTCGGTTCCGATTTGGAAACGGAAGGTGCTTGATAGCTTCCAATTTTACATTATAATACATTTATGAAAGCCTAAACTTATCCTTTTGGTGGCCTCCTTTGTGCCTCTTCTGCCTCCAGGCAAAGCACTGCTCCTTTCCTTGATCCACCCTGCAGACTGCTCCCCCACCAAGAGATTTATGCTTGTCCTTCTCCTCCAATACTCCCTTTGTTCTAGTTTATGGCAGGGTTGATAAGACTGTGAGAAGGGAGGACGAGTCCACTGACCAATGCACTTCAGGAGTGATCTAAAACTGCTTTGAAGCTTCACTCCTAGAGCTCAGGGAGTGAGCAGCAGGGCCCCAGAGATATTATCTGTAACATTGATTTAGTGCCCTTTCAGCTTCAGCAACAAACCAGACTGGAGTAAGGGCATGGTTGGCTGCATTTCTGGAATTTCTGAGTTATAAGTATTTATGGCCTATAAATTAAAATTTCTGCTCTGTCAGAAACCCACACAGATGGAATTTGTCCTGTCCCTGAAATTGTCCTATATGTCCAGTTTTCCATTTCTCATATGACCTATGCAACTCCCTCCCCCTTCAGCTAGGAGCCAGGCCATTGTCTGCTTATGTTTGTTTTTTTTATCTGTTATTTCTAGTCATTTTGTGTATGATTACTTTTCAGATAACTCTGTATCTCATGGTCTGAAGGTACATGATGCAGTTTGAAACTTAAATATGGGAGAAGGGCAGACAACAGTGAGGTGCTTTTGAAGACTCACAGTGAGGCTCCTAACTAGCTCTCACATTCCCTCCTAGTTCTCCTCACAAATAAACACATATTACTAATAGGAAGTGTACACAAAACCTTTAGTGGTTGCAATATACTTTCATAGCATATTTTCGATATATTTTCATAACACTCAAATGAGAAAACTACTGCACCAGCATTTTATGAAGCTTCAGCCCCCCTCCCCACCTTTGGAGACTATGTATTCCCTTGTCTCCTATGCTGGAGCATATACCAGTGCATATTTAAAAGAAAATAGCCAAACGACACACATTCCCAATCTAGCAATAAAATTCTCTCACTTGCTCTCTTATTGAATACTAGCTGGAAGAGCCCAGCATTGCTTGGGAATTCTAACAAGCTAATAAATACTAGGATTTATAAATGAATACTATATTTTCTTAGTTTTTAGGGCTATTCATGCCCACCCTCCCCCAACTAGGGAACACCTGACCAGCCCCAAATCAATTTGGGGGCAGGCCTCATGTTTAATTAGGATTTTAAAAACATAATATGATGAGGAGGGGGGCAAAGGAAAGAGATGCTGCAACTCCTCCCCACCCCCCGCCTCCCCACCACACTGCAGATAGCAGAAGGGTTCAATCTGCTGGGTGTTGTTCTGTTAACATGTTCCCTGCAGTGAGCACTATGGCAAAGCAGACCCCTGCAGCCAAAAGGACTGCAGCATGGGTGGGAGGCTCCTGCACTGCTGATGCACATGCTCATAACTGCTTGCTTTCCCTTGTCTGCCCTCCTGCCCTCCACATTGTTATCCATGTGTCCTGACTTGTGGTTCAGGCCTCAGGCACACCCACTCCGATCACTACCACTGCCAGCATCGCCTTCTCCAACTCCCTGGCCACTGCTTATCTGGCTGCCATCATCGCTGCTGCTACCACCACATTGTGGGAAGCATCCGCCTGACCTGGACCCAGCTCATTTCCCCTCCCCATCTTCTGACTTGTGCATTAGTCATTGCCATGGGGGCCATAACTGATGGTGAGAGACCAACTAACTGACCTGCAGTGGTGGTCCAGTGACTAGGTGGTTCAGTCCTGTTCAGTTTGACTGTGTGTGTGTTCCTTTGCTGGGAATAGAAACACACAGCCAAACTGCTGTGTGGGACTGTTTGAAAGCCCTCTTGAAAACAGCCCCATGCTATTATTGGTAGAAGCTGCCTGTCTCACCACCTTTCCCATGACAGACCTGGATTACTCCAGGCAACCTGACTCAGGGTGATTTGTAGCTGTCTCAACCCAACTTGGTTGAAGCTCAGATCCAAATCTGGTGCACAGCCATTTTAATCAACTGTCAAATTTGATTAAAATCACTGCAATTTTGAAAGGTTCAGCCCACCATCTTTATTCAAAATAGCATCCCATGATATCCAAATATAGACCAAAATGTTACCCTCTATCTCAGGAACCATTATGCCAACTTGGGGGGGGGTGATATCTTCAGAGGTGCAGTTTGGAATAGTTTTGTCTGCCATCTTGATTCAAAAGGGGCATGGCAATTTCCAAACACAGACCAAAACCCATCTCCATCTCCATCCTGGGAACCATCACAACAAATTGAGCAATGATATCTTCAACAGTGTCCAAATCAGTAGTGTTTGTAACTGTTTGGTCTTTCATAAACCAAATCCCACTCCTCAATCTTGGGAACTGTCACAGCAAATTGGGTGACAATATCTTCAGAAGTGCCCAAATTGATGCAGTTTGGAATGATTTGGTCCATTATTCTGATTCAGAATGGCACCTAGCTTCTAAAAGTAGGCAGAAACTAACTCCTCCATCTTGAGAACCATTGTGCCAAGTTGGGTGGGTGATATATCAATAGGTGTATGAATGCATAGAGAACAGACAGACAGATGAACTAACTTGGCAAAATACTTGGTAGAGGGGAAAGAAGGCAGAAAATGAGATAAAAAGCCCTGCTGGATCAGACCAAAGCTCTATCAAGTCCAGCTCTATCTCACAGCTGGTATTCAGAGACATACTGCCTTCAACAGTGGACATGGTACACAGCCACCCTGACTAATAGCAATTGATAGCATTATATGAATTTTAAAGCCATTAAAGTTCTCTACCATTACTACAAGCTACCAGCATGAGTTTGATCAAACTGCGGGAGGCAGTGGAGGACAGAAGTGCCTGGCGTGCTCTGGTCCATGGGGTCACGAAGAGTCGGACACGACTAAACAACAACAACAACAACAACAACAACAACAACCATTACTACCTCTTGCGGGAGCAAATTCCACAGCTTAACTATGTACTGTGCAAAGAATTACTTCCTTTTACCTGTCATCAAACATTCATTGTATGACCCAGGTTCTAATCTAGTATTAGAAGACAGAAAAACCTTTCTCCAATTTTCCCACACCATGCAAGTCACCAGGAAGATGTAGAAATGTATTTTCAAAGAGTTTTAACAATCAAGTGAAAAGGCAGGGTGACAGTGTTTCTATGGAAAAGAGAAAAGCACAAGCTAATAATCAGTTGTTCCTGATTGCTCTGTTTCAGTGTATTAGCATCTAAATGACCTATTATGTCTTGCCTGGAAAGTCAATGCAGGATTCTTCTAAAGGCTATCCAAAAAAATGTAAAGTTAAGTAGGATAGTTCAGGGAATAAATGTAATAAATAAAACTTGGGAAATCCTTCATTGTTATTCACTGATGAGAGATCAATGGAGCCACTAAAGCACTGGGCTGTGAATGAATGTGTAAGAAAGTATGTACTTGAGAGTCATTGTGGGGGGGGGCCACTTCAGACTCCATAGTATGTTTTCAAAATTTTGGCAGCAGAATCCAAGGCATGTCTACTCAGGAGTAAGTCCCCTTTAGTTCATTGAGGCTAATTCCTATGTAAATGGGCATAGGGTTGCAGCCTTACTGAGTAATTACTTGGGAAGAGTGATTGGGAAATGAAATGCAGCGGTAGTTGTATTTTATGATGTCTGAATCAGTTAAACACAAATGCTGTGATCCTCTTCAGGTTTATACATGCCCCTCAAAACAGATAGCTGCTAAATTATTTCAGAGAGAGGCTCAAGCTTGGATTTTGACGAATCTGTGTGGGAAAAAGATGAATAACTGTAGGAAAATTGCTGGGACTCTCATGGTGTGTGTCTGATACTGGAACCTGGAATAGGGTCATCATGTGAGGATGGTATTGTATTTGAAGGAATATTGGAGTCACCAGACTCGTTACAAAGTAGCAACGAGAGACTCAGATTCAAAGCCCCCCATTATTGGGGTTACTTGGGGCCAGTCATTATCTGTTAGTTTTGCATACTTTACAATAATAATAATAATTTCATTATTTGTACCCCGCCCATGTGACTGGTTTGCCCTAGCCACAACAGAGTGGCTGTGATCATAAAACGGACGCATGGAAAACCATGTACTCTTCCTGGAGGAAAAGCAGGATATACTGTAAATGTATTAAACAGGTTAGGTACTCTTAACAAAAACAAATAAAAGATAAAAAGATAGACTAATATATTGGAATGTGTCCTTTATTTGAATGGCTATCTGGTCCAAACCTAGTTTAAAGATTACAAAACCCATTAAGGACAGTAAAGAGCTTGAAGTTGCCCATCAGAATTTAGCACCTGGGCAGCCAACAAAGCAGGCACATAGGTCACTTGCTCCGAGTCTGCCACTATGGTCTCTCCCCCCCCCCCAGTTCCCCCCATCTATGCATATAAATCAGCATAAGCAAATTTTATGCAAATCTCTTTTTTTCTGCCAGTGCATTTGCATGTTTTTGGTGTTAGATAAGTGACCACCTTAACGTGGAAGCTAGGTGGCTCA